CACACACACACACACACACACACACACACACACACACAAGTGCTGATAAGCCTGAGTGGTCTGTTGACTGACCTTTGTATTTGTTCAAATAATAGTTATGGGCAGGTTACAATATAAAAATGTTTGTTATAATCATGTCTTGTGATTATTTGACAGGAGTTTTACTTTTAAACTGTAAGAGTATTTAATTTAGTTATGTTAGTTACGATACTTTAGTTATGATGTAAATACAATAAAAATTAAACCAAGATGTAGAATAATTATCATTTTGATCCGTACATTAGTAATGTCTGACTGGGCCTCGTGTCACTTTATGTTCAACAAATTGGGCCCTGAGGTCAAAAAGGTTAAGTACCCCTGGTTTAACCGGCACTAGTCGAGTGTGAAAATGAAAATCCATGTCAAACAGGAGGATTTACCAAGCGTGATGGACTTCAGGTAGATGGGATGCAGGAAGTGGGAGAGCAGCGCCCCCTGCAGGCCCAGCACGTTCCAGCGCAGAATCTTATCGCTGCAGCTCATGGTCCGCAGCCTCTCACCGTGCTGGATGCCGTCCCAGGTGGGAACAATGGCGCTGGACTCCACTGGGATGGTCCCCTCACCTGAAAACAGCAACAAAACACACACAGAGAGACAGAGCTTTCACCTCCTGATGACAGAACACAGCTGCTCTAGAGAGTTCTCACAGAATCGGGCTGAAAGCTGGTGAAACCTGAAGACAGCCGGTGTGACAGGGTTCCCTGAGAGCCCTGTCAGCTTTTTTATACGTTTCTGTGAGCTGTGGCTTCAAAGGCTCCATCACATCACAGAGACACAACAGTTGTCTTTAAAAAACTTTTAAAGATTTATTGTTTACTTCTTCTTAAATTAGCATGAATTTAAATTGATATGGACACTTTTACCAGAACAGAAATGCGTATTTAGATGTGTTCACCTAGCGTCTCCATTCTAAATGATTGACAGCCGGTCGGGATAAACTCAGCAGAGGTTTATAAAAACTAAGTAAAAGTAAAATTACAGGAACAGAAAATGACTTTGGAAAAAAAATTCACTACTGAGAAAACTGCTCAAGTAAAAGTCATGAAACTGTTCACAGAAATTGGGAAAGTAAAAGTATTTTTACACACTCTCTAAGAAATAAACTGTTGAATTTACTGAACAAACTGGTTCAACTAAACCAGGTTGAGTAAATTGATCAATATATTTTTTTTCTTTGCTCAGTTTACTCAACTAGTCTTAGTGAAACCAGCTGACATGACTTTGTTGAGTAAATTCAACACATTTTTCAGAGCAGAAACATCTTTCATAATGAGTTCAAACAGATTTCATTTGTAACCAGGTGTTACATTTTAAAGTAAAGAAGTATCATTTTTGGCTTTAAAATGTAACAAAATAAAAGTAGCTATTTTAAAAAAGTTGGTAAAATTACAAATCCTCAAAGTTATTTATAGAAACGTTTGAAATTGTTTTTACTGATAAAAAGGTGATCAGAGCAAATCCAGTTTATTAGCCGGCCACACATAAAATAAATAACTACATTTAGCTGGCCACACAAGTAGACGCTCGATGCTAAGTAGCAACGGTAGCGCACGTCGCAGCTCTTAAAGTGTCTGTGACATCAGATTTTTGTAATAAACATGAATGCATTTTTGGAAAGATAACTTTGATAACATGTTGAAAAACTAATTTCACGTCACTGAGATGAACAGTTGTTGAGATATTTGCATGTGAAGAAACAGGAAGTGATGTCAAAGGGGAATGTCTGCATGTAAACAGAGCGTTGTAAAAAAAGCAAACAACACAGACTGTAGAGAAGAATCTGATGTTTCTTTAGATTATTTTGAGTCTATCAGACAGATGAAGAGTTAAAGTTTAAATAATGTTTTAATAAACAAAAACCAGAGAGTTTATTTTATTACTGAGTTCCCCTTTGATGTCACTTCCTGTTTCACTTTGGCTGAGCCAAATTCTAAATATGCCAGTTTTGTGACAAAATGGGTAAAATCATGTGTATTATGCCAATTTTCTTAAGTATAAAGATGTTTTCTTTGACTTTTTGTATTTGAAGCATAATCATGTCTCAGGCTCTTTAATCCTTGACATATAAAGAAACTTTGCCTCTTTGATCTATCGCCCATTTTTACACCATTGAATTCAGTGTTATCTAACCATCGTGGTTCTCTCACTCACAGTTAATGAAGTGGAAATCTCAAACAATAACTTACATTCTACAGTATTTTATAATTTAGGCCACTGGGAAAGCTGGTTTTGTTTTTTCCACAAACAATGACAGGGCAGTCTCGATGTAGGAATGTCATGTGGGAACTATCCATCAGGACAGACCCAGTGTTGGTCTCACCGTTCTCCACTTTAGTGCGAAGCTTGCCCTGCTTCACATTCTCAAACAGAGGCTGGTGACCCTGAACCTCATCCCCCGACTCGCTGCACGACTTATCGAACAGAGCGCCGTCTCCACAAGGTGCCGTGCTACGGATGAAAGGACAGAAATAAAAATCTGCTCTGCGTTTAACGGGAAACGCTGATGCGTCTCAAACGGTCTGTTCAGGCGGTGAGCAAAGACAAAGAGCACATTTGATCCTCCACCTGATGTAGAGGTGAAAGGTAATGTCAGATTTGATCTTCAGCTTGCCGTCCTCCGCCGGCTCGAATATGCTGTCGTCTGCACCGTCGTAGTGTCTGAGCAGCTCGCTGTACAGAAACCTGAGCAAAGGAGACGCTGGGTTACACTTAAAATAAAGCTGTGCAGACTGCTTCCAGGAGAGGTGGGAGTATTTTTAGAAATGAAGGAGAAACATCAAAAAAGGAGCGGGATATCGTTTTCTACCGAATGAAGCCCCTCCTGGAGATGATTTCAGCGTGGCAATCATTGACGGTCTCCCCTTTAAGACTCAGCTCCTCCCCTTTGACACAACGGTTTCCTGACAGGAAAAAAAAAACATTCAACATCAAACATGGTGACAACTCATCGCCTCCCAGTTCTGCTGTGACCCAATTCTGTTGAAACAAAACAAAATGGAAATACTCAGGAGCGGCACCATTTCCTCCTGTTTCCCAATCATTAGAAGCGCGATGAATGTCGTGAGTTTACCGGTTCCAAGGCTGACGACGGTCCCCAGGCCCTCGCCCTTCCTCATGACGATGGTGGCCAGAATCTTGCGTCCGAGAAGGCTGTGCTGGATCCGTGTGGTCAGGGCGTTGAAGCGCTGGTGACTCAGCATTGCGATCTGGTCGTGCAGAGTGCTGCCGCTCACTGGTAGCTGGAGAGAAGGATGTCAGAAACGAGGTTCAATTATTTTAGATGTACTTTTATAAAAGCAGTGGTTCATGTATCAGTATTTGGTTCTTTAGAATACCGCTTTTCTCAGTTCGATTCAAAGTACATTTGTTTTTTATTAATAATGCATCATTTAAAATATTTTTCTGCCTTAAGCAGCTTCTGAGATAATAGTGCACAAACCTGTCACAGTGTGAACGCATTACGACTGCATCATACTTAGCTGGAAGACACACAGAGTTAGCAGCAGCTCGGCATGTTAAACCATGGCTAACGATGGTAAACCGTGTCTTATGATGGTAAACCGTGTCTTATGATGGTAAACCGTGGCTAACGATGGTAAACCGTGTCTTATGATGGTAAACCGTGTCTTATGATGGTAAACCGTGTCTTATGATGGTAAACCGTGTCTTATGATGGTAAACCGTGGCAAACGATGGTAAACCGTGTCTTATGATGGTAAACCGTGGCTAACGATGGTAAACCGTGGCAAACGATGGTAAACCATGGCTAACGATGGTAAACCGTGTCTTATGATGGTAAACCGTGGCTAACGATGGTAAACCGTGGCAAACGATGGTAAACCATGGCTAACGATGATAAACCATGGCTAACAATGATAAACCATGGCTAACGATGATAAACCATGGCCAACGAAGGTAAACCATGGCTAACAATGGTAAACCGTGGC